AAAAAAAGCTTGTATAGCATTAATTTATCCTAGATATCTGTTAGCAGTAGCTCAACCAAGGTATTCCACAAGGGAAGAAGGCACTGAAAAGAACACTGTAGCCACCTCAAGCTACAACATGTTATTTATTGGCTTGTTTAACATATTCCCTCGAGCTCCTGTAGCTCTACCAGAATCTCAGTTATGAAGGGAAAAAAAGGTAACAGGATTTAAAACCCCACAATTCTAGCTTTTGTATCACATCTTACACACCGTACCGCCAAACGCTCTCTAACAGTAGACAATGTTTTGTACAGTGAAGCAAGGCAATGGCGATGGGAAAGGAAAGGGTTTTCAAACCACATCTGAATGTCAGTTGGGGGAGTGGTTTGCAGAGGAAAGAACAGAAGAAGGAACAGGAGATCAGTGGCAGAGTAGTTTAAGAGTTTGTTTATATAAGAAAATGTAATAGCTCTCTGGAGACACCTTACTGTGGGATAAAAGTGATTTTATTCCAGAATTATGAATTCACTTTGGAAGTGCATTAGTTATTCTGGTAGAAAAATGATTCAACTTCTGCTAGAACACCTCTCCCCAAGAGCCCATCCTGACAAAGGACCTGTTCTGCACAGCCCATCCCTGCAGACAGCGGCTGCAGCAGAAGCCATGGGGAAGAAAACCACAAATGGAGGTTTTGTGAGGTCACCTGCAACACACACTTGTACTTTTAAGAAGGGACAGCTTTTCCCATTCCTGTTGAAATCTACTACAATCCATTACATTCATGTTAAGGAGGGAGGAAACGGAGAAAAGCAAAGACATTCAGAGCAAACCTGCAGAGCTCTATCATTCTTCCAGGGACTCAACCCAGACAAGCAGGACTAGCAGACAACAAAACACACACTCAAGCATGAGAGGCTCCCATAAAAACATTTACAGGCACCTCTAGATTCATTGAATAGGTTCTATTACTGCTGAATAGGGACCACTTTTTGCTGTTGCTGTTTTACTGAAGTTAGGAATAGCCTGCAACGCCTGCAAGAAAACCAGTGCAGTGATCAAGCATTTCATCCAACCTGTGGGTCAGACTTCAAATGTTCTTTTGTGCTATTTCAGTGTTTAGAAATCCCGATGACCCCTTCCTAGCTCAAAAACAAAAGTCCAGAATGGAAGAGGGGGAAATAAATCCAGTATCTTAAAACAGACATACTGAGCTTGTGATACACGCTTGGTACCATTACACAGCCAGAGAATACATCCAGATTTACTCTGAGAAGACTCTGCATATCACAGCTGGCGTGGGAACAGAGCGCTCGGAATTACAAAAGGTTCCCTGTGCACTTCACTTTAAGATTTGGCAATCTTGGTCCTGCATTTCACAGGTACCAAAATTAACATGATTTTCTCCAAACGTTGGCCTAGCTTTGAGCACAAAGTACATCTTAATTCATACAATTCATCTGTGCTTTGGTGGAGACAACTGTGAACTTAACAAGTCAAGGGTTTACCAGGACAGAGCCTTCGCTCCAGTTCTCAGCGTTTTTAGGCTCCCAAAGTAATCCTTATCATGGGAAATCTATCACAAACATCTCATGCAAACCTGTTGCAGGAACAGCTTCCTTCCCTGCATACACAAGCTTCTAAAATCCATACTGCACTGAAAGAACCAGGCATCATCCAGAGAGGCAGCTCCATTCCCCAGCAATTGGAGCTGACCCTGCCATTGCCTCCAAGGATGTGACCCCCAGTGCTGGGACACAAGGAACCACATTCTCCCCCCCAGACACCTCATTTCCCACAGTCAACAACTAACCTCCTTCACCATCTAGGTAGGCATCTTCTCCTGGACCTTAAATCCTGATTTTTTGTCTTTTCTTTTTGGTTGGTTGGCTTTTTTTGTTTGTTTTTTAAATCAATAGGTGTTATAACACACCCAAAGGCCCAAGCTGGTCCCTTACAGCGCAGTTGCAACAGGCTCTGCTCCCCCCCAGCTCGGAGGCAGCAGCACCAGGAGGCAGGCGACGTGCCCGGCCTTCCAAAGGGGACGGTTTGCTCTTCTAAAGCTTCCTCTGACTCTGAGCCCAAGCCAGCTGGGCAGCAGTTGAAAGACTTGATCCTTCAGCAGCGCCCGGCATCTGGAGCCTCCAGCCCAAAACAAATAGAAACATTTAAAATTAAAACAGAAAAAAAAAAAAAAAAGGCGATAAAAAGAATAAATTGTTCCTCGCTGGCCTAAAGAGAACTCTTCCTCCCTGTCCCCCTGTATATCCTTGAACTGCTTTCCCAGTGTCGGCTGGACAGGAGCAGCCAGCAGCCTGTGCCCAGCAGTGCCGGCTTGCAGCACTCACACCTGCAGAGCAGCTCTACAACCAACCATGCAATAATGGGGCCATGAGAGGAGCTGCTTCTTTATTTCAGACACCTTCACTGAGCTGTCTCATAATTGCTACCAGGAAATTCTGGCAATGTTATCCCTTCCCCTTCTTTATGAAGCTGCTGTGGTCTTCAATAGACCACAGAATCACCAAGGCTGGAAAAGATCTCTAAGCTCCCATCTCCAGCCTCACCCCCATGCCACCATACCCACTGACCACGTCCCTCAGTGTCACATCTCCACGGCTCTGGAACACCTTTAGGGATGGTGACTCCACCACTCTTCTGGCAAAGCAATTTTTCCACATGATTCAGGGAAGAATCACACCTCATCAAAACCTCTCAACCTGCCCAGATCTGTAAGACAAAGTTAGCAGGCCACGTAATACCATCAAAACCACCATTGACACAGAGAGTTTCAAGGCTACTCCAATACCAAGCTCAGCACCGTGACCCACAACCCCAAAGTCTGTAGGACTTCAGGCACAGTCAGCCTGCACCAGGTGCCATCAAACCCTCTGCAGGGTGCCAAGGACAGACTTAACCCACCCCTTTCCCTCTCCCCACCTTCACTTGCACTGGAAGCACCCAGCCGCCAGCACCCCTTCTCCAGGGAACTGAATGTCACACTACATGCACAATAATAATGTGGTTTACATCACCCAGTGACCCACTTCAGAGGATCTAATGAAAAACTGTAACCACAAAAGAATGGACTGTACTGCTGGGTTGCTTTGATTCCTTTCTCCCACCCCTTTACATGAACCTCATTTCCTGTCTAATACATTCAATGCCACAACTAAGAGAAATTGGGGCAGCACTTCCCCCCCACCCTTTTCCCTCTCAGCCTTCCCCCAGAAGAACCCAGCCCCTTTCCACACTGCGTTACTGCTGGATACCAGGAGTAACCCCCTCATGTCACTGTCACTTTTAAATTCCAAATCTGAAGTATGAATGAGGCAAACAAAGAAAAATAATAAAAAGGCCTTATCTCAAAAATCAACGGACAATTCCTTTCAACCACAACATCTATAGAATACAAACTCTGGCCTCTCTTGCATTCCTGTTGGTCAACCCATTGTCTTCAGAGCTGCAACAAGACCTAAAGCTGGGTGGTGAGCTTTAAAACCCCCCAGGAAGAGGGGCACAGTCTGCTGGTTACTGGTGGTTCAGCTCCCCATGAAAGAGGCTCCCCTCATCCTACTGAGCATCTGTGCAGGCTTGGAAGACAACAGAATGGTCACTTAAACAGGCATAACTGGATTGCTTCTAACCAAACCTTGGGAGTTCTGCAGCACTGCCATCCCTCCAGCTCCTGCAGAGAGGAGGTCCACATCTCTGCTGCAAGCATGGAAAGCCACAGAAAGCACAGCGGCAGTGCAGAACATGCCTGACCAACAGGAGGCTGAGATCACACCCCAATCAGGGTGCCTTTTTGTTTGAAAACTGTAATGAAGTTACACCACTGTACAGCCATGACACCAGAACACTGAGTGCTCCAGAGTGCCTTAAGAGCACTAAGAAAGCTAAGTTCTTAGCTAGCCTGCTCCTGAAGGGCAAGATCAAACCTTCAGCCTGCTACAGTTCTGCAGGTCCACCATCCATACCTTGCAACTTGAATAACATTGGCAATAGACAGGCATTAGTCCCACCCAGAATCCTGTATCTGTGGAAATGAGCAGGGTGATGCTTGAATCCTCACCCTGTAGAGAATCTAGAAAAATAGGCAAGCAATCTTGGAGTAACTTGGAAACGGGCAACAGAAAACTGTCTCCAAACTATTTTTCAAATTGTGGCTTTCTTTCGCAGGCTGAAGTTCATGCTGAGTTAAGAGCTCAGAAAACAGAGCTTTTCAGAAAACTGAAGCTGTTATCGTTCACCCACTTACATACCACTGGGAGTAGGATAGGAATGAATGGGATGGGACACGACGCCGGGCTGCTCAACCACATACAAATCCCTAAAATTAAATTCATTGATCCCTTCTATAATGAGGGTGTCCAGTCACATGCTGTGGAGCCAGAACATCGCAGTGACACAGCTGGATCACATCCAACAGTACAGGCACTCTTCACGGCAGGGCCTTCCAGCTATTCCAAGTTAGCCTATTGCCTTTGCTCTAGCAGAGGTGCGGGTACTTAAAGAGGTGACCTCATTATTTTAGCCAGCAACTCTAAGGCCTCAAAAAAAGCATGAAGACCAGCTGAAACGCCTCCTCTGGCTGGAGCATGCTTTTCTTTAAACCAAAATCTGCTCCATAGACCCTCTCTGCAGCTAGGCAATGTGCACTCCTTCTTTCATTTTTCTTTCCCACAGGTTCTGCATATTTATTTTGAGTGCTCCAACTCTCTGGATAAAACTGAAAATTGATAAACCACCTCAAGGGAATTCCCTTGCAAAAGACAACGTGCAGCACAGTATTTTGTGCAGCCAGTTCTCTCACAGAGAACAGTGGCAATCAGAACTGATTTTCTGAGCGAAAGAGAGCAGGAACATGCCTGTAATTCATTTCTGCTCAATGTCTTCCTTCTCTCACATGCATCATTCCTGATCAGATGACTAACCTCAAATAGTAATAGAAAGTCAATGGGGACAATAAACTGCAAGGAATTACAGAGAAAAGCAAAGTAGAGAGATTGTTAACCTACCAGATCTGTCCAACATTGACCAATGAGAGGTAGAGGATCCACAGGACAGCCATGAGGACCATGTTTGCACATCCAGTTATCAATATAAAGGCTGAAATCACCAGACCAAGCATGGAGATGCAGTCCAAGATGCTGTCCATATCTGACCAGTCCAGAAACCAGATGATTGTCGGGGCATAGCTGAGGGCATCTAGGTTTATCTTCCCTTTGAAATACTTTTTGACATTCTGCAGGTATAGCTTACATGGGAGCAGGCCTTTCTCTCCTATCAGCTGCTTGTTTTGATGGTACGCCACCAGGAAGGCCACAACTAGACAGAAAACGAGGAGAAAAAAAATATTAGAAATCAGATCTACAGAAGTATATTCATGTCTTGGGAAGGAATTTGTTACATGTCCTCCTCTCCACTAAAACACAACACAGCCATTTCTATTTAGCATGATGTAAAAGGCAGAGGAATTCCATCTACGCTTTACACCAGGAAATGGCACAGCATCTGTTTTGAGATAATTCTCTCCCCAACTGCTGCAAGGGATGTGCCATTTGCCACAGGCAAACTCAGTAACACACTTTGGGAAAAGCTGCCTGCAGCCAAGGGACCTGACCCACCGACAAACAGGAGGTTCAGCCCAACTGCTGGACTCAGCGTGACCCCCGGTTACTCACATATGCTATTCATCTCCTAATGCAGATGAGGAAAACAGCTTAATTGCATTGCAGATGCAGAGTGAAAGTAATGCATTAATTTCAAGACTTTCAGAGGGAATTAGCTTCCCACAAAACAATGCTTGTGTGGGATACACCAGGAAGCCCTCAGCACAGATACCGGGGAGCACAGTTTAAGCAGCCAGATGGATGCACACAGTTCCTATGCAGCAGCAGAGACAGCTGCACCTTCTGACCCTTTTTATTTCAGTTTCACCAAATACGTTGCAGTGTCACAGCTCCACCATGGATGCTGGCTCTGCTGATTTACTCTACATGCCCTGTCCAGTACACACAGCCCACGGCAGAAGCAGATTTTATCTGCAGTGTTTTGATTTCAGTGGACAGCCTACTTCCCATTTTTATAAAGCATTATCTGCGCACCTATCAAGCACTGGAATTTGTCCTCATGCTGAATACACTTAATATTTCACAATACTGCTAATGAGACCAAAACACGCCATCATTCATCCAGCAGCGCCACGGTTAAGCACTGCAACTGCAGAAGATGGCAGTTATGATATGGGTTGACCTTCTGGATCTGGTAGGCTGGAAATACAGAGGCTTAATATTTTCCCATCCTCTAAACTGCTACTATTTTTACAAGTTGCTGCAGCTCTCCCATGTTTCGTATCTACACTCTCACACTGGACAATCTTAGAACAGCCAGATGCTTTTTTTTAACAGCACACAAGCAATTTAATTACAGATTGTAGACCTAGAATTTGATGTTCTACAGAGAAAGTTGGTCAGCTTCTAGGGATTATCTCATATTTTAGGAATCTCCTCCAGTTACCAATTTGCAGTTCACAAATGCAGTAATCTCCATTTCTCAGAAAAAAAAAATAAAAAAAAAAAAAATGAAGGCCAACATTTCCTGATTAAGCTCCATGCGTTTTGCTCCCAGCAGCTCACTCACCCTTGTCACAAACACAAACCAAACAGCAGCCACGTCACACGCAGCAATAGCTGAGGTCTTGCAAAATGCCATTTGTTTTCCCCCCCCCCCCCTCCACTTTTGTTAATGATCAAATCCATTTCCTTCCTTATCTGCACACTGGCATTCGGCACACAAGGATTTGGGTGCTCATCTGGTTGCTCTCTCTGGGAACGCCAGCAGAAATGTTGTGTGAAACTGAATCCCAAGTTCAGGCCTGGATCCCCACTTCCCAAAGTCAGACCTGCAACCTCAGGGACCAAAAAACAAACATCCCACTGCCCCCAGACACACAGCACAGTCTCCAGTTCAGTTAATCCATCTGCTTGCTCCATCTCTTTGCACACGCTGTGTATTTTGTCCTCGTTTTAAAGCCACCAAGACACAACCCAGCACCCCTGAGGTCCGTAGGAAGGTTCCCACTGATGCCAACAGGCTCTGAATCCAAGTGTGAATGCAGTCATGTCGGGGTATCAGTGGTTGTGTCTTCTGCCCATCTTTTAGAAGGACCTCACAAGTGGATAAAGACTCACAGAATATTTTATTCTGTTACTGACAAGAAAAAAAAAAAAAAGCCTGCATTAAAGAATCAGTTTAGGACAACAAAGCACATATTTTATATGTTAGAGAACTCATTTTTTTCTACCAATACTTCTTTCTGATTTCTGCATAATCAGAGAGCCTATCACACCAAGCCAGTGGGAACATAATGCTTTTGATCCTCAAACAACTTTATCTTCCATGTGGAGTTCAAAAATAAGTAAATAAAAAAATTAAGACCAACTACATCACAAACTCCACACCACCAAACGCTCCAGAACTGCTGCCCCAACCCAGAACTGCTAAGCAGTTTAAAAAGAAAAATCTAAATTAGACCCCTGTGCAGCATGCAAGATAAACAAGGAAAGGGTAATTTAGGAAAAACAAACTATAGCATTCAAAGTACACACTGTATGTACAAAATACTGCAGTCTGAAAGCAGACAAGACTGCATTATAGGTTGGCACAAACTGCACATCTAAAGGCTGCACAGACTGGGCTCCGAAGTGGCTTCCCCTCAGAACACCAATTATTTGCTGCACTGATGACATTTTGCATCTAATGACTTCATAGCTAAATCCCATTAGCAACAGCCCTTTGATTCTGGCTTACTCAGACAAAAAGTCCCTTTTGCCCCCAGAGCCTGTGCTTTTGTTCCTCTTCCTTAGCCCCTATTCTGAAGCCTCTCCCCTTTGGCCTTGTGTTTGGGGGTTTTCCACTCCCCATCCTCCTACTCCCTCCAGGTAAACATGGTCAAGGGAATTTATTTCCACCTAGGGCTCCTGCTGGCACACCTGCTGCACGGCTGGGGCACGGGGGCAAGGTTAACTGCTGCCCTGACACAGCCATCCTTCCCCACACCACTGCTGGGAACAACACAAGGTTTTGGGAGGGCTCCCAAGGCAGGGCTTTCTCCTGCAGGCTCCCAGCACAGCTGAACACATCCCACATTCTCCGAATTCAGAATACAGCTCCATCATCTTTCCCATCATTGTTGCTGCTCACTGCACGGACTTATTTTTTTTCCCTCCTTACCAACACTGCCTCGATTTGGGCATCTTCATCCCATGCCCGTCTCTTCTTTCCCCCAAAGCACCCTGCCTGACTTCTTTGCAGATTGGAGAACCCTCTGCTTCACAGACTCCCATGCTCCCTCCCACTCAGGAGCCTCTGACAGCTCACATGGGAACACGCTCCTCTACCTGCTGCCAGCTGATCTTTACATAAGTAATGCATGTAAATTGTCACCAGCTGCTAATAGACCTTCACTACTTATCCTCACCTCAGAAGGTGTCTGACTGTACTTTTCCATTAGCTCCCCCTCCACCTTCTCCTTCCGTGCTCCTCTCTCCCCCAAATGAAGGCGTTCCTTGTTCAAACCCACATGCTACCAATAAACACAACTGGAGCATGCAGCACAGGAATCACCCATCTGAAAGGATTTGGTCTGTCCACATTGCCCTGTCACCTCAGTTCCTCTCCCCCGGTCCAGGCTCAGCTTGTCATGGTAGGAGAATGAGAGAATCCCATTCTTCATGCTCTGTAAAGATTTAAAGATGTGAAACCTAAGACTTTCCGGTCATATGGCTTTCTCTCCCCCTCATTAAAAGAAGTCTCAACTTTTACTTCAAGCCCAAACCACAAGAAGAAATGAACCAAAAGCACTGAGCTTTGCATGAAAACCAAACTACTTTTTGCACACAAGAAAAACCTGCCTGGAGCCATGTATCAGTTGCACCTTTGACCCAACGGGGCATTCAAAAAAAGCCCTATGCTGGCAAATGGAGGTTGTACTGCTGACAAGAAAAAGGAGCAGAATGTTCACGGTTTCCTAATTACCATTAGTTTTCAATTGATAAACTCCCTGGCAAAACTCTGTAATACAAAAGCAAGAACCTCTAGCAATAAGCAAAAAGCCATAATGAAGTTGAGCAGCCCCTTTTCATCCCACAGCCCTACAGCCACAGTAAACACAACCAGCCCCTTCTCAGCATTGTTTTGTTCCATTGTCATTAGCCGCAAAGCAAAGGACTTTGGGGTGGCTGTGCATGGGGACTTTTTAAGTGCCTATCTCTCCATTGTCTCATTGAAATAGCGTGAAAGCAAATACAAAAGGCTGTGGCACTGCTATGAACTTCCCTCACCTGACCCTCGCTCGATTCCATGCAGGCAGCAGTGCGGCCTCCAGCTCTGAGAAGATGCATCTGCTCCAGAGCAGCTCATCTCTGCTGTTCCTGGGAGGCAGGCTTACTCCTTCCCACTTCTTGCTATCATTTCCCTCAAATTAGCACTGCTTGCTGTCCATTCACTTTCCTGCAGTGCAAACCTGGTCCTGTGCAGAGTTAAACAAGAGGCACAGAGCTCACTAGCAGACACAGCACTAACACACTGCCTCTGCTGTGCAGCCTTGCTAACAAGCACCACGCCAAAATAAAACCTTTTGGGGAGAAAAGGCATCAGAAGATGTACCACAATAGTGAGAAGGTTGTTGGAAAGCTACTGGGAGCCTTTTAAAATAACTGAGGGAAGAGCAGGGGAAAGCAAAGGAGATGGCAGAGAGAGGGGAGGAAGGACACCGGGGAGAGCCAGGAGCCCACAGGAAGCCCAACTCCCCCAGGAAGGCTTTGGATTTCAGAGCTGGGAAGAAGCAGCACAAATCTCCCGTAGCCTGGCTCTGGGGAAAGAAAATGCTACTATTAAACAATACATGAGGAGAAGGAAGATAAACTGTATTTACATACTAGCTTTTATTTCAAAGCACTCCACAAAGCAAAGCTGAAATTGGGAAGGGTGGTATCTAATTACTGAAAACTTCTACATCTGCAATCTGATGACGGTAATCATCCAAAAAAAGGGCACTTAAAATGATTTAGAAAGAGGGCAAAGGGAGAAATAACACACATTTGTTGTCAGAAGCTTTGGGACCAGATCTTTACTTGTAACAGCACTTCCACCAGCACCTCCAAGGCTTTGTGTACTTATCCCTGCGATAGGGAACGTACACGAAGCACAAGACCATAACGAAAAGGCTTCAGAAGTCAAAACTGCACTTCTCCAAGCCTCTGTGCCATGAATTACAGACTGTAATTAGGCATGGAAGATAGGTGTTAATAGTGGAATTCAGAGAGAGCAGCACCAGCGCCATATAAAGATGCCTCTACAGAATCAAGGAGAGGAATCTGGGCAGCATGGCACAGCACAGGACCACAGGAATAGTTCTCCCCAATGTCCCAGGCTGGAGCCTGCTTTACTTCCCACTCCTCCTCCAGAAGTGTTTTGCCACTGGGTCTGCCTATATTTACTTGAAGTGGAGAAAGAGCTCCCAGCTATCAACACACCTGTGAGGGCTGTCAGCTGTAAGAGCTTACATCACCCAAATTACAAATACACCCTTGAAGTTACTGTTCAAAACAGAACTGCATGGACAAGTGCTTTATTTACCTTACTGCTCAGCTTGGAGAACCCCAATGGCCTACCCTAATGCCAAGAGCAAGCCTTCAAGCACATTCAGCTCAGAGCCATCTTGCCCTTACTTCCCATCCCTGAGCAGCAGGTGGGTTTGCTCACCAGCCTCCACGAATCAGATCCTTTCCACCTTCCCACCTCCAACCTGCCTCCCAAGCAGACTCCTTGCCAGGGACTTCCCAGGCCCTGGATGCTTCTGGAAACCCCCTTCAAATAAAAAAAAAAATGAAGAGGAGAGCTGTTATAACCAAAGGGAGTACACACAGGACACTTCATACCTGCCTAGCTCTGCCTGTCCTCCTTCCAGAGGTGAAGATCCAAAGAGAAGGCATCTGACTTGCAGCAGGCAACTCAGCAGGCTCAGGAGTGCCCTTGTGCAGCCAAAAGGAGGGAGGGCAGAAGCACCAAGGATGATATGGAGACCTGTCACCTCCACATCACTGTGCACATCAAATCATGCTTCTCTCTACTAATCCTCAGGGTCCTTCACTCTCTCACCCTTCCCTTTGCACTCACCAGGCATAATGAGCTCCCAGCTCCACTAATTAACAGGAGCTGCAATCGACAGGGCTGACCACTTTCCCCAGTAGTTTACTGCAAAACTCTCCCCTCTCCCCTGAAGGTTTTGTTCCTGAACACAGCAGGAATGAAAGGGTTACATCTAAAAAGGTGAAATGAAAGAAGGGGAAAAACATCCCACAAGTGAGGAATGTCAAACTGTCACAACGCCATCAGCCGTTTCCTCAGCAAGTCTGAGTCTCGGTGTGCACAGGATTGCCATGTCTGGGAAAAAATAATCTGTCAGAGTAAATGGTTCCATCTTCAAAAGAGAGACTTGAAGAGGTGCTTGGCACAGGGGCTTAAAATTGTTTTCTGCTGTTTCTAAAGCCAAGCTCACAGGAAAGATCAAAAGGCAACCCACCTTCCCTCGAGAGCATCCCACCACAGCCATGCCACAGCTCTGCAGCCTCTGACAGAGGAATCTGCCTGATGGCAAGTTCTCTCTCAGACATAGCAATCAGTTTCCTCCCCACAAATGTTTCAGCACAGCATCTCCCCCACACTGAGATCAGAGCTGGTGTCCCCGCAATGCTGGGGACAACCAGAGCTGGAATCAGACCTGTCTCAAACCTGCTCACACACCTGACTTTGGGTCAGCTGGCTGTTATTCAACCAGGACAAACAGCAAAACTCACTGTTACCTCACTGCAAACAAACAGAAGTTTCATAACTTGCAGGTAACTTCTCTTTTCTTGTGCCTCTCCCATCACAAAGGACAGACTCCTACCCTGTTCCTTCCAGCCTCCACTTCTGGCACCTGAAATTCTTCTTCTGACAGCACCTCTCTAAAGGATCTCAACACTCTGCGTTGTGGAAGCATTAGGGGATCATCTCTCACCACCTCAGGCATTCCCACTTTTCTCCTCCAGAAAAAAGAAACCCAGTTCCTCTGCCTCTATTTGCTCGCCGTGCTTTCAGTCAGTAGCCTTCCATCTCAGCTTCATTTTCTCACTTTCATTTTTCCCCTCTCCTTTTTTCCATGCTGTAGCTCCCATCACCCTAAAACCGATGCTTGCTCTCCACCTCTCAGCACCTCAGTTGTCCCAGGTGAGGTCTCCCATTCACCTGAACGCTCCATTCCTCTAACATGCTCCTTGCCATCTCCTGGCTCTTCACCCCCTGCCTGCTCCCTTCCCATCCAACACACCACCAGCCTACAGGGCAGCATTTGTTCCAGGATGTGATGTATTTATAACCCCAAATCCACGATCTGAAAGCAGCAGCCCCTGCAGAACACACAGCAGAGAACGCTGATCAGTTTTTTATAAGAACTGCAAACTGAGCTATGGGAAACTCAGCAGTCTGGATTTACACACGGGAATATCAGAATCGCTTTCATTTTGACTGAAAGAGTCATAACCCCGCATTTCACCGAGAGCTGAAACCAAACTAGAAACAGAGCACGTGTCAAAACCATACAAAACTACAACTTCTGCATGGTTTTGATGCAAAATAATCTAAGCAGGCTGGCAGCCTACAAATCCTAACGATTTTGTGGACAAATCTGGGGCAAGTTTAGAATTTGTAACATAGTGTGTTACATGTCAGTTTAGGTTTCACTGTGAATATTTTTTCAGCAGAGCGGTAGCAGGCTCCGAGCTCTTGGTATAACTTGCCAAAACAAGAGCCAAATGCGTACAGCTGAGTCGGAAACTAGTTTCACCATTTCAAATTACTGGCAATTCTTGGATCGGAGGGGACATCACAGAATCACTGCAGTTGGAAGGGATCTCTGGGGACCATGTAGCCCAATCCTCTGCTAAAGCAGGTGCCCTACAGTAGGTTGCACAGAGCCCAGATGTGGTCTTTCTCTGATCCTACATGCAGAAGCTTCTTTGCTTTAAGTTCTTCTGATGAGCTGAGGAGCTCCTCTTGCACCACTGCCTCACAATATGTGTTGAGGATGGCCAGACCCAGCTGTGAGGACAGGTGTTGGCTTTGGGGCACCCCTTCCTCAGTGGGACAGGAGCCCCCAAACCACCCCGAGCCCACCCAGCTACCAGTGCTGCTCACTGGGCATCAGGGCCTCGTCCCACATTTGGGCACAAGAAGCGGAACTGAAAACAAGCAGCTCTCCCATAACCCCCATGGAATCACACCACGGTTGGGTTGGAAGGGTCCTCACAGCCCCACTGCAGCCACGGGCTGGCTGCCCACCGGCTCAGGCTGCCCAGGGCCCATCCGCAGCCTCGAGCACCTCCAAGGATGGGGCACCCATCGCCTTCTGAGCGAAGGATTTCCCCCCAGCATCCTACACGCTTCACTCACCCTTCGGGCTTTGAACACAGACCCGCACCCCGACGCCCCGTGAACAACCGGCTTTGAGGTGGGGCTGAGCGCTGCTCGCCCCGCGCTGTGCCCGGGCTGAGTGCGAGTTCCGCACCGCACGGCCCCGTTCCGCACCCACTCAGCGGACTGCGATGGGTCCCGCAGACCTTTACACCGCTCCACCCGACCCCCGGCAGCTCTCAGAACCACGAGAAGCCCCAAACCCTCAGGAATTCCCGCGGTTCTGCTGGCAGCGAGCCGGGCCGCCCGCAGCGCCGGGCCGTCCCCCACCCGCTCCCGGGAGAGAGAACGCGGCGCGGCGGCAGCGCCCAGACACTCACGGTACAGCAGCGCGACGGCGCGCAGCAGCACGATGCGGGTGAGCCAGAAGGTACCCGGCGACAGCGCCGGCCCGACCCCGCCGCCCGCCGACTCCGGGCCCGCCGCCCGCCCCGGAGTCTCGGGGGCGCCGCTGTCGCCCGCCGCCGCCGCCCGCCGCTGCCTCAGCGCCGCGCTGGGCGCCGCCATGTCGGGACCCGCAGCGAGCATGCGTGCGGCCGCCCCCCGCGGGCCGGGCAGGGCGGCGGGCGGGAAGCAGCCCCTCAGGGCGGCCGCTGCTGTTCGGGTTTGGCTGCGGGTCCCCAGGGAGCCGGGAATCGCTCGTAAAACCATTGCAGTAGGAAAAGCCCTCTCTGATCCCCGAGTCCAACCCATCCCACTGTGCCCAGTCCTCAAGAGCCACATCTCCACACCGATTTTATGACTATAGCCATCAAACGCTTGACCCCGTGTTCAGTCGTGGATATTGTTTTTAACCAAACCACGTTCCAGTGCAGTGTCCCCGGCCGCCGTTTAGAAGGTTTCAGAAGCGCATCCCATCCAAATAAACAGCGCATTGCTGAGCCGTGTGCTGCGCTCTGAGAAAGTATCTGTTATCAGGTGTGACGCTATGCAGTGCTTCTCAGACTGTGCACCCATCCCTTATAAATGCCTCTTTTGTTTTTCCAGTTTCCCATCACCGCTGCTTGCATTGTTCTGTCAGAAGGAAAAAAAAAATAGAAAAAAACACAAGCACGACATAATGGTGCATTGTATAGGCAAAGAAAAATAAGTTATTTGTTGAGGGCTGCGGGTGGACTGCAGTTTTGCTCTCCCTTTGGATTAGCCACGAGGTTTGGCTAGATAGATGTGAGGAGATGGAAGCGAATGGTTTCCTTTGTGGGGTCTGTATGAAACTTTTACAGCAAATTCCATGTTAAGTGGCAATGTCTGTAAAACAAACTGGATAATTGAGGAAATTGCTGAGGAAAAGTGGAAGGCTTAGGCTACAGATTTAGCAAAAAGGGAATAATTGGAGCTGGGGACGTGGAACTTGATCGGTTTTCATGGCGAGGGATTGCCCTGAGCTCTGCAGCCCAGGCTGAGACAGCAGCGTGCCAATGGTGCCTTGCAACGATACGAGCTGCAAGGTTTTAAGTATATTAAATTGCATTAAAGTGTTGTTACTCTAAGGGACCGATCCAGCACTCATAAAAGGCCGTAGGAGCCTTCCTTTAGCCCTACTGGAAGATGGATCAAGCTGTAAAGGAAAACGTGCCATAAAATGGTGGATTAGAATGCTGAATTACCTTCCCTCTGTTCCACAGTTCATGTTGGTGCCCAGCTTTGTGTGCGGTGTCGTCTTGTGTTTGGTTTTCTGCTCACTTTTTTTGTTGTCAGCTTTCATTTTCATGTTGTAATTTTTGTTGGCTTTCCCTCTTCTCGAACAAAAGTATCAGAAAAGAAAACAATGTAAGAACCCAGCAAGTAACACAAACGAGATATTTAAGAGCCAGGCTCTGCGTCTCAAAGGGAAAGCGATTCATAAATGTCAGGCCTGCAGGCAGCGCAGAGGCATCATTGATGCTGATCTTCATTCAACAAAATGCGAGCCGCCACGTCCCCCCGCCCGACCCTATTTTGCTGTGTTCCAAACAGCTGCAAAAGTGTCAGAGAAACAAGCATTTACTGTCACAGCACCCAGCAGCTGTCCCCATCAGCACCTCAGCCCTGCTGTCCCTGGCACCCTAAATTACTCTGTGTTCATTCAGGTCCAGACTTTCTCCCCCTCTGGCTGCCAGGAATTGGGTTTAAATAAAACAGAGCGAGTGAATGTGTGCAGAAATAACTATTTTGTAAAGAAGCATTAACATTTGGGGACTCCTCTAAAGAAAACATACATTCACTTATGTATAATACAGTAATAGGCAATCCCACGGAGCGTTCAGCTGCATCTGCTGAATGGGAGGTGGGATCTCACGAAGAATTTGGGAGCTTCCTTCTACTAGTTAACATTTTTCCAGATGTAATATTTTTTTCCATTAAATCTCTGATCTTTCCCTGTGGAAATCCGATCCTTAACTCCAGGGTTAGCAGGATTAGGACTGAAAAGGATTTTTGGAGGAAGAATTACTTTTTTCTTACGGTATTTGTATGGCGTCTATAACAAGGGGAGGGCGGAGGTGTTGATTCAGAAGTGGGATTCCAAAGTGGTACCATAGGACAAACAATTAATAATCACAGTAATTATGTGTAATAAAACTGTCGTTCTCCATTATTCTGAGGAAATAAAATAAAAATGCCATCCAGTCTGCATCGTGCAACGGGAAAAAACAAACCTCTTGCCACTGCATCACCTGGCCTTTACAATCTGATTGTGGTGTCATTCATCGCTCTACAGCAAATTTTGTTATGCTAATGGTATCTTTTAAAATTTGAATAGAAATAATACCTTGACATATATTTTGCTTTCCCCCAGTTTTAGGCCCTACACACATTTTCTGAGACCGAAAGAGAAACTTGTTCAGGTCTGTAATTGCCCTCAGCTCTGGGTCCTTGGCTGCCAGGACCGCGGCTGCGAGCGCTGCAAGGCAAAAACTCCATGTGAGCCACGAGTTCACATCTTCCACTGGGATATTAAAAATTAATAATCAAAAAGGCATTTGTCAGCGAGGGCTTTTTGATTTTCTTTTAGCAGAAATTCCTCTCCAGGCCAAACGCAGCATGTGAAGATTTTCACAGAGCGCTCTTTGAAATGAAACCTTCCTAAGAAGAGGTTCATTTCTTTACTGATATCTCCTGCCATGATGAAATCTAGAAAAGGACTTGGGATTCCCATGCACTCCTCTCCATGTGCCTTTTCAGCAAGGGAAAGTCAGTGCAGCCCTGCCTGGCACAGGTGTGCTGAGTTTCTTCATCTCACCAGGTAAATGTTCATGGGTTGGAAAGGAGCTGCCAGGAGACACATTCCTGCATTACGTTTATCATGCAGCTGTCCAGAAAAAGAAGGGATGCATGAGCTCAGAGCCCCATTAACGCAATAAAAACTAATATTAAACTAATATTTAAGCCCCTCTTTCTTCACCCTGCTCTCAGCAAGCTGCAGCAGCTGTGCAATGAGTGCAGGTTTGCTTCCAATCATTGTGATGCAAGCCCCGAGCCCCAGCTCTTCGCAGTCCGTGGAAATGTCTCTGATAATGGGCTCTGGATGAGGCTGTAACAATACAGACTTGTTCTTGCTGCAGTGGGAGCACCGTGTCTGGAACGCAGGAACTCTGATGGGAGCACACGGTTGTTTTCCACTCCTGCTGTGCAGGTGACACTGAGAATTTTGAGAGCAAAGCTAAGTCTGGTGGTGGGAGCTGTGGAAATAAATGCTGGGGACCGAAAACTCCAAGTGTTAAGTAAAATTTGCAAAAAACTTCTGTCCATTTTCATCCTCCAAATGGATCCAACTCCTTAGCTTTCCAAACTGTTCAAAGCAGCATGGCTCACTCATGTGCATGGATGACAGATTTCAGACCACAACTGATCAAGCAAGCAGCTGAGCGATGTAAATCCAGTGTTAGATTTGTATGAGCAGACAGCGGTCTGTGCTGGAGCCTTTGCAAGCACTGTAGGATTGGACCCAGTACTATGGTTCATTCTAAGAACAAATCTTTTGCTCTCTTCTGCTGCTGTTTTAATTGAAATTAACTGAAAGCTACAGCCCATCTTCTCCTCCCTGTTAGAAATCAGTAGCTGTACTGAAAATGACTGAATTTTGTTTTGCAGAAATCCCTGAGCTGCCTCTGAAATGCCGTATCCTCTGGGCAGAGCATTAATCCTGCAGATGTCAGAGGCTTATTTTAACACGATGCATAGGTTACTCTTATCTGATTAGGGATTGTTTTTTCTTCTCCCTGTAATGTTCTTTTTATTTGCTCTTCAAAATTCCCATGTAAAGTCTGCTCGCAGTTCAAAGGTAGCCAATTTTTGAAAAATGATAACCTCACCACTCGATCAGATTAAGCCACAGAGCCCACTTTTGGCTGCAACCCCCCAGCGAGGGAATGAGTGCTGCAGAGCATTTCCCATTGTGTGTTCTTGTACGCTCTGAAAACGCATATGAAAATGACTCTCCTCTTTGATGCTGAGATAAATGTCCCTTCCCCAGTGTTCACGGAGCACTGACAGCCCTGCAGCCAGGACACTGCCATGCAGGACCAGGAGATGTGCTGCAGAGGAACCAGGACTGGGGTCAGAGTTCCTCCACCCCGCAGTGACTCTGAGAGTTCCCAGAGACAAGTGACAGTGTAATGGAGCCAGACACACAGATGTGGGATTTACTACTTGATCCCGAGCAACATTGGTGTGAGCTGGCCAGGAACTTTATCAGTGTCAGACTTCTCAAAAAATGAAGAAACACTGCCAATATTGGCAGGTGCCTGACGGAGTCCTGCTGTAGCCACCCTGTCAATAAAAGCTTATTTATCCCTCCCAAATCATCCCTAAACCTGCCCTGTTCAGCACACTGTTTAAGCCTCCACTGGATTACGTGAACCTCAGTGCTTCCCAAAGCAGACTGCGCAGTCTGTTTCTCCTTTGGCATCTGAGGCTTGGTTTAATAGGCATGGTTGAGGAAGTAACCCCTTTCTTCTGATAAAGGCCAAAGGGTATCAACCAGGATATGGCATGAACCAAGCAAACAAAATCACCAAGGAAGAAACACGCTCTTCTACAGAAGTGGAACTGCAGCATGACTGTACCTGCCCCTTGTCTCAGCCCCTGGTGCCCTTCCCTTTCAGATGTCTGTGCTCCTCCCAGCCAGCTGATAGCCCAGATAAAACAACACATGGTGTGGAATCACCGCAGGACCCATCCTGCAGCTCCATCCTTTGCCCATCCCTGGGCAAACATCCTCAACTCTTCGTCACACCAAATACGGACCTGCAAGATCCCCAAAGCAGGTGTGAGGAAACATGCCCTGCCCATCCCTGGCTCTCCCCTTCTCCTACCCATCTCCAGAATAAGAGGCAGTGGTTCCTGATGTACTCCTCCTATCTGCTTTTGCATGCGGGCCAGGAGGTGCATCTCACTGCCCCAGGCAGCACTGGGGAGCCAGGCAGGACAGCAGGATGTGAGTGAGGAGAAAAGCAGCATCACTGATCTCACATTCCTCAGGGCTGCAGGATGACCTGGGCCTGAGGGCAGCAATGAGGGGAGCACAG